AATTAAATTAATAAGGTTGTTATGGGTATCTAATCCCATGTTAGATTTACCAGAAAAATCCAATAATTATGATCATTTTCATAAATTTGTTTTTGGATTTTGGTGCATTGTCTCTTTTGTTAAATTATAACTTGTCTCGATGCACTTGTTTCACTGTTTTTTCGGTTGGTTTCGTTATCCAAGCAAAATAAATTTGAATGATCTCTTAAAAATGGGGGACAAAAGTTGTGACAAAAATTTCATTTTCTATGAAAAAGTTTAAACTTGTACACATAGATAAGGGTAAACAATTGGTTTGTACGAAAGATACTATTAAATTTAAAGAAAATCACTAAAGGGTTATCCATAGGTATTTTCTTACGTTTTCAAACTTTTGATTAAAAAAAGGAAACCTTTCTTGTTTATTTATTTGCTACAAGGGATCGTAAATGCAAGAAGCTTTTGTGATTATTTCAAACACAGATTAATCAAAATAAAAACAGGAAACTGAATAATCTAAATTTATAAAAGAGTATCTCCTATAATAAATGAAGGTTTTTTTTGCCACATGTCATATTCTCATCCATTTGGATACATGGTATTTTCTAGAATTTTTAAAATTTATATTTTCCACTTGTCATTTTATTTTATTTTTTATTTTATTAAATTAAAATTCCACATTTAATGTGTAAGATAATATATATGTAAAGTATTTATTAGAAAGAGTTTATATATGTAATGTACTCAATACATTAAAGTTTTAATAATTTTAATAATTCAATTTTTTTTTCATTTTTCTTATAAATTCAAACTTTTCAAAATTTTAAAATTTCATATATATTTTTTTTAATTAAACCCATATAATAAATGGGTGTCACACCTAGTCTACTATATAAATGAAGGTTTTTGCCACATGTCCTCTTCTCATTCATTTGGACACATAACATTTTCTAGATTTTTAAAATTTTGTATTTTTCCACTTGTCATTTTATTGTATTTTTCATTTTATTAAATTAAAATTTCACATTTAATGTATAAGGTAATATATATCTAAAATATTTATTAGAAAAAGTTTATATATATTTTGTATTCAATACATTAAAGTCTCATTAATTTTAATAATTCAAAATTTTCTTATTTTTCTTATAAATTCAAACTTTTCAAATTGTTAAAATTTTATATTTGTTTTTTTTTTCTTTTTTTAATTAAACTCATGTAATACATGGGTCTCACACCTAGTTTTAATAATAACTAGAGGGTGTTCCCCCGCTCCGCGGGGGACGGAGGTTGTTATCAGCTAACAAAGTTCTCATGATAATGAATCGTCTGGCCAATTTCTTCTTGGGTGTTCACTAGAAAGGTCTAAGCTTTATTCCCATTTTGCCCCTGCCCTCCCTCCATGTCGGCATAATTTTTCTGGTCGGTAGTTGTCCCTTGCTCTACTGGAATCTATTTCTGTTTTCTCCTTTGATACGTGAAATGAAGCGGTTGGTACACCACAAATACCTATAACCAAATTGGATAATATAGGTCATCATCATAAAGTGGAAATTAATAAAACTAAAAATCCCAAAATCTGCTAATACTTACTTGGGAAAATAAATGTTTTAGCTCATTTTCGGAACAATTGGAGCCTAAATTTGAAATAAAGAAAGTCTAAAATGTTCTATCAGTTGTATTTTTTGTCAGGTCCTGTATTTACAGTCAAACAACACGTCAACGACGCAGAATGAAGCGACCACAACGTACCTCATCATCTTATCAATACACTCAGTTAACCTTTTATGATTATTATTATTATTATTATTATTATTATTATTATTATTATTATTATTATTATTATTATTATAGAAACCAAAAAGTGTAGCCATATCAATTTCAATGTTGTGAGATCCTTTAACAAATAAATAAACCACTTCACAGATTAGTCCATAGGCGGACTCGATGAGTCGAGTCGGGGTTGCCCCGCAATTCGTTGCCAAGTAACTTGACGAGTGGGAGGGAACTTGTCGTGTCTAAGAGGTTTAAAAAGGATTTAGAGAACCCACATGGACTCGCCGAGTCTGGTATGTGTTGACCGTTGATTTGAGTTGTCTTATGTTGACTTTGAGAGTTAGGTCAACAGAGGTAATAGAGGTCAGGGAGGGGTAAAATGGTCTTTTACCTATTACCTGACTAGAGACAGAAAGAGTAATCGCCGATTAATTAGAGTTGGGACTTCGAGTATTAATTAGAGGTATTTGCCTTATGTGTTAGGCAGTGGCGAGAACGAGGTTCGCACGTGCAGATAATTGCTTTCGGATTGCCAGGTGAGTCTTCTCACTATACCTTACCTTGAGTAGGTAAACAGAGTTATGTGACAGAGTATTTGATGGAGTGAAAAAAGTAATGAATTGAGGGTTTAGGAAAACAATAGTGCTAGATGGATGTTTCTTAAAGGGTATATGCAAAGGGGAATTTCTCAGTGCAGTTGGAAGGGGTGCAAACAACTAGATTTACCCTATTACATGACAGTGGTTTGTGCACAAAACAAGGAGAATTAGAAGTGGTTTCTGGATAGTCTCATTTATAACCTTTAGCTATACTTTGGAACTGGATTACTTTTATATCATATCAATAGAAGGTTTGTAGTAAATTTTTTACAGTTAATTTTGTAGAAGCATCAAATGTCACAAGTATGGTTCTGATCACTTTATATGGTTTGGTTGAAGCATAAAAGAAATTAATATTACCATTTGTTGAGCATAAAAAGTGTACGAGGAATATTTGCCAAAAGTTGAAGAAAAGATTTGGTGGATCACACTATGAAACATTGTTTTGGAGAGCTTGTAGAGCTTCAACTAAATCATCATTCAAAGTTAACATGAAGGAACTGGAAGCATTGATTCCCAATGCTCAGAAATACTTAATCAATTATTAAAGGCCCTAAAACTTTGTGTACAACATTCTACAAAACTGGTAGATGTTGTGATGCTATTGAGAATGACATGTTTGAGAGTTTCAATGCTTTAATACTAGATGCTAGAAAAAAAAAACAATAATCACAATGCTTGAGGAGACAAGATTGTATATTATGGGAAGGTTATAAAATCATAAGATAATGGGATAGAGATAGAGAAATCAAGTGCGTCCCTTCATTAGGGATTTGACGAATGAAATAAAAGTACAACAAGGAATTGGCAAGTTTTATCTAGTTGTCTGAATCAGTTTGAGGTTAGGGGACCAATGAATCTTTTGAAGATAAAATTGATAGAAGAGCATGTTTATGTTGGTTATGGAAGTTAAATGGATATGGATGTGTCCACTCCAAATCTTGTGTATGTTTCCTTAATAGGGATTTGGAAACATATGTGGATAATATTTTTAACACACTTTCCTATAAAAAAAATCATATAACCACATAACTAGTGGGATGAATGGTAGTGCAATGTGGCTAGAAACAACATACATACCATCATTAACTCCACAAGCCATAATGATGTTTAGAAGACCTACCACTAGAAGAACGAAAGATGTTGAAAATCAAACAAGGCTCACTGTATTAAATGCTATGAAAAAAGGGAAATAAAACACATTCAATGAAGCAGGTCACAAAAAATAACATGTAGAATGGGAAGGCCTAAAAAGCTCAATAGAAGGAAGAATAAAAGACAAAGATGTGTGAACCAGTACATTAGATATGTAATTGTTATTACATTAAGAACTGAAATACAACTTCTTTTAGTAAACTAATTTTAATTTTTTTAGGGAACTGGAGGTAGTGATGAGTTGGATGATGAAGCTAAATGGTAGCTTGAATTTGACCATGTAGAACTTGATGTAGTTGAGATGAAAGTTAAGGGTGTGTAAATGCAAGATGTGCAAGTTGAGGGTGTGCAATTGCAGGATGTGCAAGTTAAGGATAACTAAATAGATCTAACACCTCCAATTATGGAGTGTATACAAGTTGATGCTAATAAGATGGATCTAACACCTGCTGTTGTGGTGGATCTTACCCTTGATCATGTGGAAGTGCCAGTGTAACTAGAGCATCTTACACCAATTAATGTCATCTTGAAGAACATTAGAAATAAAGTTTTGAAAAGTATACTAAAACTAAAATGGACCAAGCAGATTGGTGAGCAAGATGATCCTTGAAACAAAATTGAGAAGGGAATTATGATTAAGTGATGGTTATGTTTGATTTTATTAATTTTCATGTTTAGTAAGACTATGTTTGGTAATATAAATGTACATGCCTAGAACTATGTTGAATCACTACTAGAAAAAAGGCCTTTTACGACGCTCATTGCACGTCGTAAAAGGATCAGACGACGCGCAAATGCGCGTCAAGGAAGGCCATGTCATAAAGATAGACGACGCGCATTTACGACGCTCCCTTATGATATGCAATGCACGTCAAGGAAGGCCATGTCATAAGTATAGATGACGTGCGGATGCACGTCGTCTAGAGACGACGCGCCCTTATGATACGCATTGCGTGTCAAGGAAGGCCATGTCATAAAGGAAGATGACGCTCAAATGCGCGTCGTCTGCAGACGACGCACGCTTATGATACGCATTGCGTGTCAAGGAAGGCCATGTCATAAAGGAAGATGACGCTCAAATGCGCGTCGTCTGTAGACGACGCGCGCTTATGATACGCAATGCGTGTCAAGGAAGGCCATGTCATAAAGAAAGACAACGCTCATTCGCATGTCCTAACCTTACGTCTCTCGTTTTTACTACGCGCCTTTACGACGTGCATTTAAAACACACATTTACAACGTGAATACACATAATAAATGACAAATATACCAAAACATTCATTTTCATCTAATTGTCAAACAACTTTACATATATGTTGAATTACCTAAGTTGTAACTACATGTTACCTTAAGTAACATTACTAAAAGTTAGCAAAAAATTGTACATGTGTCTCAAAAGACTACCTAGCATTACACATGTCAAAAGACCATACCTAGTGTTAGTGGTTAACCATAACATTGTTTTGCGGATACATTGTCAAAAGATCATACATATCATCGATAAATGAAGCCTGTAACAAACGTTGACCATTCTTCACGTATCTCATCGATATCAGCAGTTGTGTACTCAACTTTGCCATCCCCGATCTGTGAAAACATTTGCATATTGTTTTTATTAATAAAAAATAGCATATTAACATATTCTGTAATAGTAAGTTGATATATTTAACAACTAAGCATAAAATGTAAATTATTCTTTCTTAATAGAGCATTGTACTTTCAAATGAATGAAAGCACATATTCTGTAATAGTAAGGATGCCATGAATTATAGTAATGAAAGTAGAATGCTATATCCTTACATTGTCTTTGACCAACACTTCAATTCCTTCTTCCACTATCTCCTTCATGAACCTTAGCATGTAGTAGCCACATTCGGTAGATCCGGGCTGAACTGGACACTACACAATTACATATAAAATGATCATTTCAATTGATCCAAAAAATAAAGTTAAAACTACAATTTCAATAACGAATTAAGTGCTGACCGTAACATTAACCCAATTTAGTTTAACCCTTTTGTTGGATCCACTTTGTGTAGTGTACAGAACCATCGCCCTATAAAAAAACATTAACAAATATGTGTTTATTGTACTCACATCAAGTGTTTTGATAATTTATATTACTTACGAATCAACAATTTGCTTTAACTGCATATTGAAATTGGCAGAGCTCAAGGAATCAAGATAATAGCAAGTATCCGATTTCATGTCTAGTACACCCAATACCCAATGTCTTCTACAAAAACCACAAAAAAATGTCAAATAACATAATTGCAGTCATTTTAAAAATAAAATGTCAAATAACAATACCCGGGATTGTAGGGCATAAAGATGATGTCATTGCCCTTTCTTTTAGACAACCGATCTGCTAAACCTCTGCTTGCATCGTCAATATTCTTAGATTTCCCTTTACGCGTACTTGGTGAGATTACTGCCGGGTTCACAAAGCAAATTCCATGGTCTTTTTCTGGGGAGCCATACTTCAATTTGTTAAACAACACCCTGTTATCATACAAACACTAAATTCATTAAAACATTTTTTTTAAGACACATTGTTATTTAAATTAAATTTCTTGCACTTACATCATATAAGACACAATAACAGCACCGGTCAGCTCATCCATTGTAAGAACTGCTTCAAAATCATCCCAAGTTAAGTACGTGTAACTATCGTACCCAAAAAGATCATTCTCACTCTGCACTCTTATAGAATCAACCTTTGTAACTTGTCCATCAGCCATCATTGCAGTCATTTTCAAAATACTACTGTTCTCAATCCTTATCCTTGTCTTCATCTGTGCTCTGGTCCACCTTCTTTGCACGGTCACATTTTGTTTCTCCTTTTTAATCTTCTTTTCTATTCCAATCAGTACTTCTTCCACATCATTCCCTCCTTCCATATCACATGGTTGTTTTTCTCCATCAACCATTTTTCCTGTCCCCTTTTCTTTCTTATTACTTCCTATTTCTTCTTTTGGAGGTGTTGCATCTTCCTTCACTGGTGTTACATCTTCATTCACTGGTGTTGCAGCTTTCTTCACTGGTGTTGCATGCTTTTTCACAGATTTCGCCACCACTTTTCCCTACAAATGCAATCAAAAATACAAATAGTATTACCAGAAAAATTAAGAACTCACTCAAATATCAGAAAAATTAAGATAACCAAGGGAAAATATGTTCAAATAGTATTACCAGGTCAGAGCATCGAATAACTAAGTGTCTTGGCCAACTTAGTATGTGTCCCAGTGCATCTTTGACCTTCACAATGAACTCCTCTTCAAGTGGAAAGGGTACTAAAGCTTCTCCTTGCAAAATTGTTTCAATCATAACTTCAATGTTTTCATCTGTTACATAAACATAAAAAATAATTAAGATCCAATCTTCTAAAAAATGAAAATATATAAATAATAATAATGCAAATATATTTCAAAATACCCGATGCTTTCATTATGGTTCCTTTAGCAACTACATTTGCAGCAAATTCAACCGCAAGAAGACATGAATTATCCTGAAAAATATAGTATGTTAGTTTGTAGAAAAACAAAATTATTTAAATATATTTTTCATAATTGTCTTCAAGGACTTACAAGTGATTCATTATGTGGTTGTTTTTCAAAATCTTCAATGACGCCCCCTATTTGGCAACTTGCAGCTTCAGAAACATTAAGTACACCTCTTTTTAGTTTCTCCAATTCATCTTCAAGTTTGTTGATCCGTTTATCCACCCTCTCGTTCTCAATCTCCAAGTAATACTTAACATTCTTGGGTAAATAAAAGTATTGTTGTGGCGTTATAAATCTACCCATCCCTCGTACACGCCCACGTTGTTCCTGAGTACCCAACGCCTCTGTAAGCACATCATGTGTTCCACATGTAACCTCTCCAAAGCTTCCCGATTTCTGAAGCTCATCCTGTAAAATAAAATGGGACAAATGTTAGAAAAATAAAATGGGACAAATGTTATTTTTTTATATATTTGGGAATTAATGAAACTTACAATTTTATCAACAATCGTCTTCACATCTGCATCGTATCCTCCTGTCTTCAACTCTCTTGCCTTTTTCCACAGCAGTGTCCTATCAATCTCCTCTTCCGTCTTGCCGGTTTCTTGCGTCTAAATTATCAAGAATAACAAAGTCAATTACCATATATATATATACAAATAAAATAATCAATATTCAGTGGGAATCATACAATGTCATTAATGAGTCCAGCATATCCTTTTCTGCTCAAACGATGATTGTATTTATGATGTGCACGAGTATTTTTAGCTTTCATACTTTTCTCCTGCATTAGAAACATTAAAATTATAAATACAAACATTAAAATTGTAACTACAAATGCATATAATAAAAGTTTAACAAACCTCCCACTTCTTTGTAACTCTATGGGATACAAAAACTTTCCAATCTTCTTTCTTTATAAACGGATAATCTTTCGGAGGTTTGAATAGATTTGCCTTGGTATCTTTACTTCGGTTCTTAATGAACTTGGCATATAGATAATGCTTGAAGTTTCTCCACTTCTTCCCGATCGATTGGAGAATTTGCTTCCGACTCTTTGGGTCAACTACAAACTTTTCCTGAAACATAAAAAAAAGGTTGGTTCAAAAACAAATCTGAACAGGGACAAAAACAGGGACAAAAACAGATCTGAACAAAGGTAATAACAGGAAGAAAACAGAGACTTACCAAAACATATTGCCATAATCCTTCCCTTACTTCCTCACTAACTTCCAGCCACGAGTCATAGGTTATGGGAACCATTGTTCTTGCAACCAAACCCTCAAAAGTAGACAGTTTTGTGGCTTCCTTTCCAACCGGGACACCTTTTTTATTGTAAGTTATTACAAGCTTCACTTTATTAGCGTTTGTCTTTGTTGTCGGACCTCTTTGTTTGGACTCCTCATCGTGATCAGAAGCTGAATCTGATTCCATGTCACAAAAACACAACCTGTTTCAACAAGATTGAAATTAAATTAAGTACGTTGTTATTTGTTGCAGTTGGACATTGATTAATCACATTCAAAATCTGAAATAAAAACATACCAAAAACTTTATTGTTCTGCAAAAAAAATATTTACACTAATATGCCCTCGCCATCCGGACGCGTACACAAAAAATCATCATCAAGGTCTAATAAAGCGGAATCTTGTGCTAAATCAAAAGTAACATCAAATTCCAGCATATCATCAGTTTCACCATTTGATCCATACTTGTACATCCTATGAGGTGTGAATCCAACAACATGCAAATTCTCATCTTGTTGATCTTGAACATAAAAAACTTGTTTGACTTGACTAGCTAATACGAAGGGTTCAGACTTTTGATCAAGCCTATCAAAGTTAACTACCGTGAATCCTAAATCATCCTTTTTTACTCCACGACTATCAACCCAATCACACATGAATACAGGAATACTAAACATGTGATAATTAAGATCCCATATCTCCTTTATACGGCCGAAGTAAGTAACAGCACCATACACAGGATTGGAGTCTTTTGCACTAGCAATCTGCATAGTATGTGCAACTAAAGACACTCCACTGCATTGAGTTGTTCTAGACTCATCACGAGATGTTGTATGAAAATGATATTCATTTATGGCAAAACCGCTATATTTAGTAACAGCAAAATTAGGCCCTTTGGCCAACCAACGAACATCATCACAAATATCTTCCCCGTTAGCCAAACGTTTTCCAACCTAATAGAAAAATATATAATTAATGTAATTCAAAAAAATAATTAAAAATATTGTAATTCTAACAATCTTATTTTAAAAAAAACCTCTTTCTTAAACCAACTAATAAATGTCCGACTATGTTGGCTCTGCAACCATGTACTCTTGCGAGCATGACGGGGGTTCAGATCCTTCAACTCCAACATATGTTGCCTGAAGTGTATTACAAGTTAAAAGAATGTTTTATATGATAGATAATGGTATAAGAGTATACAGTTTCATGTAATTCTTACTCTATATACGGCTCCACAACAGCAGTGTTTCGTAATACATAAAGATGAGCTTGATCAAGTAACTGAGCATCTACAGCATCAATTGTAGCCTTTGATAAAGGCTTGCCACTGCGGATTCTTTCATCAACACGCTCATGAGGATTGCCAATTGATTTCTTGTTTTTTAAGTAGTCTGAACAAAATTCTAAGGCCTCCTCTGCCACATAACACTCTGCAATGCAACCCTCGGGTCGATGATGATTTCTTACATACCCTTTAAGTGTTTTCATGTATCTCTCAAATGGATACATCCACCTAAAATGAACCGGGCCACACAACCTCACCTCTCTAACTAAATGCACCATCAAGTGAGTCATGACATCGAAAAATGAAGGAGGAAAGTACTTCTCTAACAAACATAATGTTAATACGATGTCACTTTGCAACTTGCCTAGCTTACTAACATCAACAACTTTACTACACAACTCATTGAAAAAATGACACAGGCTTAGGATTGTTCTCCGCACCTTCACATCTAACACCCCTTTGATTGCAAATGGAAGAAGTTGTTGCATTAGTACATGGCAATCATTAGACTTCAAACCATTCATCTTTGAAACATCATCCGACACGAGATTCTTGAAATTAGAGCAATACCCATAAGGAACTTTTATGTTAGACAGGGTTTCATAAAATAGATGTTTCTCTGCGGAATTCAATGTGTACTTGGCAGGCGGAAGCCAATGTCGATCCCCTTTTGGTTCAGGTCGTAATTCAGTCTTGATGCCCAACGCTTCAAGATCTTGCCGTGCTTTTAATCCATCCTTCGTCTTGTGAGGCAAATTCAACGCTGTCCCATAAACACTCTCGGTCACATTTTTTTCTATGTGCATGAGATCTAACTGATGGCGAACAGGCAACTTCTTCCAATATTCAAGTTCAAAAAAAATCGACTTCTTATGCCAAAATTTAGATCTCTCGTCGATACTTTCTTTTTTCTTCTTTGTCTTTTCCTTCTTTGGCGTTTCCTTCTTTGACGCTCCCTTCCTTGACTTTATCTTCTTTGATCCTACCTTCTTTGGCTTTATCTTCTTACCCCATGTAGTCTCAAATCCCGCCAGATAGTCATAAATCTCTTCACCTGATGATGGTTGTGGCATAAAATCGTGCTCCTGTTGATTGTTGAAATGTTTTTTTCTTTTTCGAAAAGGATGTTCAAGTGGTAGGAATCTTCTATGCCCAAGGAAGCATACTTTTTTGGACTTTGGCAGCCATTGTGAACAAGTATTCTTTGAACATATTGGACAAGCATAATAACCTTTGGTAACACAACCCGAAAGATTACCATACGCGGGAAAATCACTTATAGTCCAAAGTAATATTGCTCTTAAATTGAAGTATTCTTTCTTATGAGAATCAAAAGTCTCAACGCCAGTTTCCCACAAGAGCTTTAGATCTTCTATCAATGGTGCCAAGTAGACATCAATATTGTTACCAGGTTGGTTTGGCCCGGATATCAACAGAGTCAACATCATGAATTTTCTTGACATACACAAATAAGGGGGTAGATTATATGTTATTAGGATAACCGGCCAACAACTATGCTTGGAACTTAATGACTTGTGTGGATTGATACCATCAGCAGACAAGGCTAATCTAAGATTTCGTTTTTCCTGTCCGAATTCTTTCCACGTGTTATCAACAAGCTTCCAAGAAGGGGTATCGCGAGGATGAGTAAGCTTCCCACTATTGACCCGACCTTGTGCATGCCAAGTTAAGTCATGTGCAATTTGTGGTATTGAAAACATTCTTCTAAATCTAGGAATGATAGGAAAATACCACAAAACTTTTGAAGGTACGTTTTTGGAATTCTTCTTCCAACGAGAAGTGCCACAAGTTGGACATTGAGAAGCATCTTTATGTTCTTTCCAGAATAGAACACAATCATTTTCACATGCATGAATCTTCTCATATTGTAGACCTACTGCTTTTAGCAACTTCTTGGACTCATATATCGAGCTAGGGATGGTATTGTTTGATGGTAAGATATCTTTTAGGACAGACAACAAAGCATCAAAACTAGCATCAGACCATCCAAATTGACCCTTCAAATGTTGGAATTTCAATAATCCACTAAGTGCATTATACTTCGACCCTACATAAAGTGGCTTATCACACTCTTCAAGAAGTGATTTCAACGAATCAGGTTCATCGTCTACGTATTTGAAGGCATCATGAAGCATATCCTTTGTATAAATAGCATCAGGAGGAATGGAATTGTTAGGGCATCTAGAATCACTATTGGGTTGTTTTTCTCCATGGAAAGACCAAATCTTATAATTCTCATCGAAGCCGTGGGCAAACAAATGATAACGGACATTGTCAATTGAGTGGTGACACAAATTGATGCAATTTACACAAGGGCATGGAATAACATCTAACTTTGGATTATTAGTTTGTGCAAACTCTAGAAAAGCATTCACACCTTCATCATATGCATTTGATAATCTACTAGAGGATATCCATGATTTATCCATTAAACATTTGTTGCCAACCTACATAATTATTTACCATATAAAGCAATAATGATTACGCATGTTTAGGGACAAAAACTATGCAAAAACAAAACTGTACAGGGCCAAAACTATACAGGGACAAAAAAATTGTACAGGGGCCAAAACTGTACAATGACAAAACTGAAGCAGGGACCAAAACTGTATAGGTTATCAATTACTTTTTCAGCATCCAGTTACTTTTTCAGCTTGTTTGAATATTTTTATGTGTTTGTTATAAAATTTTATGAACTTTTACAAAAATTTGAAAATTAGAAATACTTTTAAAATTTTGAATATGATCTTTTGCAGAAATTTGAAAGTTAGAAATGGGCTAAACAGGTGTCCAACACAAAACCACCTGCAAACCCGTTACTTCATAATTTATGTGTTTGACCTTTTTACCCTTGGGTGGTCAATCTGTTTAAACTTAGCTTTATTTTTCAATATGTAATTAGCTAACTGTAATATTTTCTTTAATAAATACAGATTGCTCCAAGCCCAATCTTACAAATATAAATACATGCATTTGATATTTGGTTTCACCTATTTTTAAGAATGGGAATTAGTGAAAGTTGTGTTAGTTAGATAGAAAGTAACTGCCATAATTAGGTATTAACTGTCAGTTGACAGTTACATTCTAAAAATGTATAAATATTTATGTTTGATGTTAATTGTGATTAATACTGCATAAGAACTTCCTATAGGTATGGCTGTTCTTTGTTGTTTCTTTCTTTCTTTCTTTCTCTTCTGTCTTTGTTGGTTAATGAGTTGATGTTTCTACTTGTTTCCATTCCTGATTTAATGTGGCAGATTGAGGTTAGTAAAATTTTCATCACACGTCGATTAATTATCATTTTATTATTATTTAAAGATGATTGAATTCATTTGTATGAATCCTGTGAAAGGGTGAGTACCTAAGATCTATAAAAGATCTGTTAGAAAAGGTTGTTTTTATTATCTGTTTCTGTGAAAGGTAAACTCTCTGTTTCTCAAGGTTGTTTTTATTATCTGTAATAACTTTAGTTATAGATTAATTATTGTTTTTGTTATAATATGATTGAATTGATTTGTATGAATCCTGTTAAAGGGTGAACATGATGGATCTGTTAGAAAAGAAGAGGTGCAGGTGTTATATGTATTGCTTGTAGAGTAGCAAGAAGCTTTTTGGATGACATTCTTTTTAATCTCATTCTGTTGAGCTATATGTTATAAACGAATATTCACAAAAATGAATTTTTAATCAAAATAATATAATAGAATCTATATTAGAAAATGAAAAATAAAAAACTTATGTACCCTAGAAAATAGATAGATTAAAAATAAATACCTTTATGTACCCTAAAAAATAGATAGATTAAAAATAAATACCTTTTCTTACCTGAGTATGTGGAATATCAGTGTAATTTATAGCAGAAACTGTTGCTTTATCACCCTTTGAGCCTGCAGCAAGTAACAAAAAAATTGTAACTCATTGTAACTATATGCATATTGCAATGCACAATCACTCATAAATCCAATTAAAAAGACTTTTTAGTTGTTAAAATCGCCTAAGAGCTTTCTAAAACTCGAATGTTGTAAGTTTCTTGAAAAGACTTCATTAAAGTAACTAAAAATCACGTTTTCATAAAGCAAGCAATGCTGTCAACTCAGAAATCATGCCCATTTATGCTTTAGTGTGACCATGAAACACTCCACAGTCAGATTATGTCAAAGCCTAGAATCATCTCATTCATCAATCCTATTATAAGTATACAAAATGCAAAGCTAGAATAGTAATTTTTGCCATGTAAGCTAATTTTTTTGGCAGTGCCCATCATACCTACTTGCATGGGAAACCAAGGAGATCAACCTTCTAAATGACTAAAAGTAGGTTCTACTCCTAATTGCATTTGATCATAAGTGAAAATGTTTCTTGTAGGAATAAATTAATAAGTGGAGGAGATACTAACCGTGTAAGATGCACAGCACCAAGCCACATACTGGTGTAGTTACCACCCAGATCAATGCACTTTTAATCCTCTTGCCAATAGTCCTACAAGCAAAAATAGTTAGAAGCATAAATACATACACTTTCAATGTTTAATATGCTCTAATGATGTGGGCCCCATTAGGACAAGACACAACATCATAAATTTATGTTGATTACCAACAAATGATGTGGTGTTTGTATTGAACAGGTTGAACTAATGCGTGGTTTAGAAGATAGAGATGATGAATACAAGACAATGTTAAATGAGAAGCTTCAAGTTACAGATGGCAGTGGTTTGATACAGGTGTACAGAAAAGAATCGACTTTATTTTTAACAAGATGAGATGAATGTTTTGTTTGTTTGTAGCCAGAAGATTTGTTGCAATAAAATCAGAATTTTCTTTAGACAGCAGTTTTGTGTTTGTCTTTTTTTGAAAATTATGCACCTATTTGAAACAAAACAAAACAAAATGCTGAAGGTAGTCATCAGAAAAGGTAGGCATTAGGCAAAGGGTAATCGGGTCTTTGTTGCGTTGGGTGTTACATTTTCACTCCTGAAATTTTTTGTATGTGATGAAAATTGACAGGGATTATTTTTTTTGCATAAAATACTTGAGGCCTGAAGTATTTTAACAAAAAAATATATGTAAGAAAGTACAAATACGTGAGTTATTATATGACCTTAACCTTTTAATAATTTGCCAAGTACATGCCACGTAGGTTGCATGTCAGCAAACACTTATCAAATATTTTTTTTTCCTAAGTGATGAAGAGTGGTGTTCCTAACTTTTGTGTTGTTCTTCTAGCACTAAATGATCTAGGGTATTATTGTCTTTTTCTATTTTATGATACAAAAGGTTTAAACTTTAATGATAATAATTAATATGTTAATTGATGTATTTATTTGTATAGGTATAAAGCAAGGGGAATTCGGTTGGATTTTGGTGATCTTGCTTATCTTTCATGTGAGAAAAGAAAGTTCTTTGAAACAATTGGAATGGAATTTGGAGTTCCGAGGTTTGGAAAGACTGGAATCACTGCTGGTAATGACCTCAATGAAGAAACTTTGGATGCTTTAAACAAACAGGCAAGCTTTTTATAGATTTTTAATTCTTAAGAGTATTGAATCATTTAGTATTTTGTAACTTTGAGTATCGGCTTTAGCTTGGGCAGTAAGTTTCTCTTGAGAGAACTTTTCTGATTAGGGCAGGAGGATAATCATTTGGATTTCCTTTCTGATTTCTTCTTATTTCCATTTAGTAACCAATAGCTTCCTAGATCTATATATCTCATATTTGAGTTTCATTTATCTGTTATTGGATTTTGGTTTCTATCAAAGAGGTTGTGTGATGATCAAAATGTAAAATGAATCAATGGCTGATTTCATAAATACATACACTTTCAATGTTTAATATGCTCTAACAAGTCTTTTGGTTCCAGAATAATATGCTTTTTGACTAATTAAGTGAAACAACTTAGAACTTTTTTCTATGATCTTGAGAAGATCAAGTGTCCTTGCAGAATTTCTCAACAGTTCAAAAATAAATCTCGACTCAGACATCTACATTTAGGGTTTAATGAATGCTTCAACCATGATTTCATAATCTCAATCCCTATTACAAATCGTCCATACATA